CAACAGACAAAGTAAGTTCATACAGATAATTGACTAAAGAACGTGCTAAATATAATATACTATAATTTATGCATTAATTTTACTTAGTAATTTCAGTCAAGTAGATCAAAATTGTGCTAGTCCATTTGCTCCTATTTCTGCACCTGAAAAATGTATGGTAAATACCCCAATGGTAATTGATACTTCATGGTATCACTCTAGGTAAATAATAAATAATATTACGTAAATAATAAAAGTAAAAAATATATATACCTACCTATTATACTTTAGTGACATGGATGTATCATCGCACAGTTTATCGGTAGAAACCGAAATTAGTAGTCCGAATGATTTAAAAGTGTAAGTTGTTACTTGTTGCTACTTATTATTTATTATATAAATAAATGTTTTTAATAAAATAATCAAAAACATAATTTTATTGTGAGAGCTATTTTATTATTTTAATATTTTATTGTTACAACATTACATATATTACGTCATATACGACAAAAATTAATATTGCAGGCCTCTTATTGGACGTCGAATAGTTGACATTTCTTTTTTTATCAAACAAATTCAAGTTCAGCATAATGCAGAGTTAAGTTGTTCTTTTATTGATATGGACTTTCAGTCAGAAATAATTCGTGGATTCCAGTCTATATTACGTTTTAAGTGTAGAGTCTGTGGTATAAAGACTCAACTATACTCTGAAAAAGAAACTGAAAACGTTATACCTATCAATAAAGCCGTTGTAAATGCTTGTCAAGCTATAGGTAAATACGTATACAGTGATTTTACTACATTAAATAATAAACATAATAGTAATAATTTATATTTTCTACAAATTCTTCATGATTGTTATAATACCTAGTTTATCATGACTGCAGGTATTGGACATACACAACTGACGGAGTTTATAGCTTTTCTTGATATGCCTTCCCTCTCGTGTGATAAATATATTAAAATTCAAAATACTATAGCTGAATTAATTCATGAGTCGGCATGGGAGGAAATGAAAAAATCTGGTGAAGAAGAGAAACGTATAGCAATTGAATGTGGTGATATCGATTCTGACGGAATACCGATGTGCACGGTCGTTGCCGATGGCCAATGGTCCAAACGAAGTTATGGAAAAAAATATGATGCATTATCGGGTGTTGTAAGAATAATGATTAAATGTGATTTTGTGATAAAATAAATATATTAATTTTTACCTATAGGCTAGTATAATTGGATATAAGACTAGAAAAGTATTGTTCGTTGGAATACGAAACAAATACTGTGTCGTTTGTCAAAAATCAACAACCAATAATAATAATAATTCTAAGCCGGACCATGATTGTTTCATGAATTGGAATAAAGCTTCAACTAGCATGGAGGCTGATGGAGTGGTCGAAGGTTTTGTTAATAGTATACAAATGCATGGACTCAAGTTTAATTGTTTAATTGGTAAGACAAATAGAAATTTAATATTTTAAAATAATAATCAACATAATATATTATAATATCTAATATATACGTTTACCTATGTATTTTTTTAGGAGATGGAGACAGTAGCGTCATTAAACGATTAAATAACAGAATGCCTTATGGGCCGAACTTTCATATTCGGAAAATTGAGTGTCGTAATCATCTCTTGAGGAACTATGCCACAAAACTTACTGTGTTGGCCAAGAACACAAAATATCCTCTTCGAATTAGAAAATATATTTTAGCAAACATCCTGCGATTTCGCAGCGATGTTACAAAAGCTGTCAAACATTGGAGAAAAGCGATCGATATAACAAAGTTGGACAAAATAAAAGGTAAAGTTAATTTAATATGTAAAAATATAGAATATTCAATATGTAATGTAAATGGTTGCATTATATAGATACATAATTTTCTCACCTTAGGTATACGAAAAGACTTATCAAATGCTCCGTTCCATCGCTTAGGTCAACATACTCAATGTAATTCTTATTTTTGTAATAAAAATAAAAATAATGAAAACAATTTGAACTTGGTACCAGAAGCAAGCCATGGAGGCATTATGCAAGAGATGGAAAATTGTGTACAACGATTAGTTAATCATTCAGACAGTTTGTTGGAAAATAAGGACAACAACGTATGTGAACAATTTAATTCCATAATTAATAAGCATATTGCCGGAAAAAGAATAAACTTTTCTGGGAGAAAAAGTTATTCTACAAGAGTTGAAGCTGCAGTCATATCATTCAACTCCAAGGAGTACATCAGACAAGTTCATAAGAAAATGACTAATAACTTTAGTCCAGGTGCCTAACTACCATTTTTCTTATATTATTTTTAAGTTATAGGAACTAACAAATTTTGTTTTGACGTAATTTATAGGAAGATACGGACAGAAGTATTTGAAAAATTACAACAGAATAAGAGGAAATACAGCAAGAAGGCGGCAATTATTTCCCAATAATCGTAATGGTAAAAAACCTTGTTCCAATGGCCCTGATGCTGATTATGGTATGACTATACTTATTGTTTTAATTTGTTTTAAATATTATACCTATTAAATTTATATAATATTAAATTTAATAAATATTATAATATTTGTTATTAGTAATGACTATTATTATTATGAATAGAAACCTATTATTCGTATTTTTAAAATAAAATATTATATTTTATGAAATTGTAAATAAATGTAGGTATGGCGGAGCCTTTATTAGACGTTTTGTCAAGAAATGATTTGGAGGAAAAAAAAAAAAGTTTTTAGATATATTAAAAAAAACTAATATGATTGAAATAGAAATATCTACAAGAGATCAAAATGAGTGTCAAAAGTGGTTTCAAGAGCAGAAATTACGTTTGACAGCATCAAATTTTGGCCAAATTTGCAAAATGAGGAAAACCACAAGTTGCAAAAATACGGTATACTCTATGTTGTATGCTCCTGCACCTCACGCAAAATCTTTGCAGTATGGACGGGTGACAGAAATCGTTGCTCGTAAAAAAGCAGTGGAAATTATTGGGGAAACTGTGCAGATGTCTGGCTTAATAATAGATCCTGAAATTCCTTACTTAGCAGCTAGTCCAGGTATTAAAATTGTATATTTGTATACAACTATATTTATAACGATAAATTGTATTTTAATCATATAATAATTTTTTCTAAGATGGTTTGATTGGAGATTCTAGTTTATTAGAGATAAAATGTCCATTTTCTGCCAAAGACACCAGCAGTGCTGTTGATGCCGTTAACAATAAACTAGTATGTTAAATTATTATTATTATTTATATAGGCATCTGGTACCTACTACCTACCTATATTATTTAACTTACTACATTTGACATTTTTATATAAACCATTTCAGTTGCAATGCTGCGTAGTTGTAGGCGATTCTATACAATTGAAAAAAAATCATTCTTATTACTATCAGGTGATAGGTCAGTTACATGTATCTCGTAGAAAAACATGTTATTTTATCATTTATGCAGCTAATTGGATCAATGTTGAAAAAATAATGTATGATCCAACATTTTGGGATTTAAAAATGATCAATTATTTAACAACGTAATATAGTTATAATGCTTATGTCATATTAGCTCAACAAAACAAATTAATTATAATATATCGTATCTAATCAACGTTTTTGTTTTAGATTCTATTTGGAAGTCTTGTTGCCAGAAATAGTTGATCCACTATACCCCAAAAGGATGCTCAAAACCAATATAAGAGAATATAAGACTGGCGACTAAATAATAAATAAACATTTCGATAATATTTTACACGTCTTATATTTTAATTTTATTCCACTTATAATGGTTTTACCTATGTCCGATGATTATTATTATTGATTTATAATTTATTATTAGAAATATCGTTTTATTATATTATAATATTACAATCGCAGTAGCGTACATGGCTATTATAATAATAGGAAGTAGGTACTTGAAAAAAATTAACTATAGTTAAAAGTATGTTTTAGGTGTATATTACGATCGCCTATACTGAGTAAATAATTGTTTATAGGTAGGTTTATTGTGTGTGACACGTTTGTTATGTATACAAAAAGATTCAACGTTTACATGAAAATTATTATTAATTTATGTGATTGTAATTTAATTACTGTTTCAAACATATTATCATTTATATCAGTAAGTAATTACGCGATAATTAAAAACTAAGTTGCTAGGTAAAATAATCAGCGTTGTGAAAACGTTCATAAATATATTTAGATAAACAGGAACTTTTATTGATAGTTAGTTAGTAAGTGCGCGCCATCATATTAGATGTAGTACAATAATCGTGAAATGAATACGATGACGGCTGCTGCATTTACGAGTGATGTTCGACAATCAACATACGGTGAAAGTGAAACAATAAAACGCGCTCCTGTTTGGAAATTCATCGGACCGGTTGTGCCAGAATATTGTGAATATGTGCCGATCGCGCGCGGTACAGGGCGTGGCTAAACGCGTGCCTGCGCCGCGCGAAAACACCTAACAGCGCATTCTCTCGAACGTTATACGGTTTCGTTTGCCCGGGTAGCGTCCTCTTAAGGCGTTGTTTGTATTTAATATCACGGTGGTTTTTCGGTTTCGCCATTCTAAACGATGTTCAAATTGAAACAACACGCATAACGCATTGGTGTCCTGCGAAGTGCCGAAGTCATGCGTTGTCCCTTGTCCGTACTCCGTACCAACCTCGAATCTTTGAGGTTAGCTGGTATGGTTAGGTTTTATTGGTTTTGTAAAGGTACTACCCTTACTTAATACTTCCGGTAACTACTGTAACAGGGCTGTAACGCCTGTAACAGTGGCTCCAGGTATCAGTAAAATATTATAATTTTGAATAGTACAAGCGCGCGCTCGCCTTCAACGTTATCAGTGTATGGCGATATTTAACCTGAAAGAATTGATAACAATTTTGGCCGCCGAAGTTATCAGTGTAAACTGTGAAGTGTAAACTATAAACATAAAAATTACGATATCGTACGTTATAAATTTTAATTTTTCACAAAACAATTGACTTAGCGTTCATTTAAGTATTTAGATTTACGATGGCCTCTAGTGACAGTGACGAGGATCGTAGAGAACGTGATAAATTTGCTGAAAGACTCAAAAGAAAAGACAAAGACAGAACTCGTAATATTGCTATTCCTCGATCTGGTAAGTCTTATAGATAAAATTAAAATTGTATTTAAAGTCCATTATTAAACCATTAAAAACCATTACAAAACCATTACGCAAAATACAAAGTATATGATTTATCTCATGATTTATGCATCGGAGGTTTATTTATCCGATACTTAATAAATGTTACTTGTGCATTTCAATAGTATACTGTGTGGCAATCTGGGTATAAAGTTATTTCGTGGGCAACGTTTGTTGGATAAGCCGCAGGCAGGGTTACAGTTCGTGCAATAGAGATACATGTTAACTTTTCGGGAGTATAGTGTGGGTTCGACCCGACTATGCTCCTGTGACCGATTGTAAATATTGTGAGGCATCATGGGTCGATGGTACTATACAATCGCGACTCATGCGAGCCCAAAACAAAGTTGTGTACATTTTATTAAATAAACGATGCTAAATGGGAGCTAAGCAATGTGAAAACAGTTCGGCGCCCACATGTAGTGATTATATTCGGGGGAAAAAAAAATGGTTACAGTTCGTACAAGACTGAAATTGCTTTCCTGCCTGAGCCACACTTACTATTTTTAGTCTGCCGCTTCTGAAAATGCTTTTCTCGATATTATGGCAATCCATAGTGAACTGTTTTTGCTGTTCTAGGCATCTCCAAATTGTTTCATATAGAACCACATGTCCACATGGGGAGTAACTCACCGACATAATAATTTGTTCATGTATATTAATCTGATTTGGACATTAACTTTTCTGCCCACTGCTTATCGGAATTTTCACTTTACTGCCTGCATGTCGTAAAATAAACATTAACTCTCCGTTAAATGTAAATAGGTAAATTACCAAAAATTCAACCGGTATTTAAAATAAAACTTTTGATGTAAGATAATTATGTCTGGGAACTTTTAAATCAATGTTCAATCAAAATGTTTTAACTCATATTACGATTATTAATTTACCATAATGGATATTTGTAGGTACATTATTTGTTTTTTATATTTTATATACATTTTTTACTATATTTAACATCGATGTTTAAAATGAAAACTTAAATTTTTATTTATTTGAATACTGAATAATGTTGGTAAAGAATGAAGATAAATAAGTATTTGCAAGACATCTGCATCAGAGTTGAGGTCTTGACCATAGAGGTTATTTACAGATAAAATACTAGTTGGGTCCAAGCGGGTTGCATTAATATTTTAATTTAATTTAATTTACTTGTTCTACCCAAATAATATATTATGTATAGGTATATTTAACTTAATAAAAACCCAAATTTTATTTTAGAAGTACTAATTTGTAAAAATATATGCTGTATAATACATAAAAAAGGTGAACAAGTGGGTACTGCTCTGCTGTACACTAGTTTTCGATTATGTCATTTTAATGTATGTATTATATTTGAATTCAATGATAAATCATTGCATCCTGGCATAATTTTATAAATAATCAAATTTAATAATTAAAAAAAAATTTGAAAGTATCTTATGGCTACCTATAATTAGTGTAACTTTCCGGTTTGAACTATTTTTGTTTGATAAAGGAAGAAAAACCCCACAGTTCTCTATTAAAATTTCTAATGTTAGCCATGACAACAAAAATTTATATGAGTTTCTAACTGAAAAAGAATTATTGGCAAATTTTTGTCAAAATTTAAACTTTTAATATATATAAAAATTATTGTGCCTATATATCTTTAATTTTTTTGAACTGCCATTAAAATTTTATGAGGACCCTTGCGTTACATTTTCAAGCATTTTTACTTAGTGAAAAGGTTTTATCGGCAATAATTTTAAAAAAAATGTACCAAGGCTATAAATAGCTTAAAAAGATTCAAAATATTTTGAAAACGTTACTATATTTGGAAAACGATTTTATAAATATTTTGTGAAAATTTGAAGTGTCTACAGTTATTAAGTTTTGAGTTACACCAGAAAAATTAAATTGGTTTTGAGTAAGAATTACCATTTTTTTTGTTTTTCCTGGAGTAATCTAATGCTACCCTGAATTTTTAATGTTGATCTTTTGAAAGTACCAACTAGAATCACTTTCTCATCAAAAAATATGCTGATGTCAAAAATTAAACCATTTTTACTACCTCAAATGTTGATGACAGACAAAAAAAACTCACACGTCATTGTAAACATAATATATTCATTCGCTAAGCTCAGAATCTAAAATATACAAAATTATTTTGATAGAATATAATACATTTAATGAAAGCTTAAAATAATCGTAGGTATTCTTTATATACAAATAATTTTTGATCTAACCCAATGTATAATTAATTAATTAATAATTTACAATAACCTATTTACTAGATAAATATTATGGTTTTTATGGTTAATGAAAAAATGTATAATTCATTGATTAATTGGTTAGATAAAAAAGCTTACGAAGAAGCAGCTAAACGATTAAAACTAGAAAATGAACGTGAGAAAGAAATGGTCATTCCTCGACTGCGTATTGAGTCTCGTCGTAAATATCTTGAAAAAAGAAAAGATGACAAGGTTACTGAACTTGAAGCCGATATCATAGACGATGAATATTTATTTGATGCTGAAGAGTAAGGTTTTGCTATTATATTTATGATTTAGACTGTAAAATATGCTATTAAATTAATCTATTTTATTTAGTTTATCGCAACGTGAAATTTTTGATCGTGAACACAAAAAGAAGTTATTGAGTCTCGCCAAAGAACATGAAAAAGCTAGAGAACTTGAAAATGTTCAACGTTATCGGATGCCCCAAGATATCAAAGATGACCAGATGGAGTATGAGATGGAAGTGGATAAGGCACCAATTACTGAACAACAAAAATGGGAAGAAGAACAAATGTCTTCTGCTGTTTATAAGTTTGGTGCTAAAAGACAAGAAAAAGAACAATATGAATTATTGATTGATAATCAAATAGATTTTATTCAAACTGCAAATTTACCTGGCACTCATGAAGATGTATGTTAATATCTTTTGACAAAATAATTTATATTAAATGTTTTTTTTTTTTTTGCCTTTTAGGAAAAACCGGAAATAACTGAAAAACAAAAGAAAAAACTTAACATAGAAGAGACAAAAAAAAGTTTGCCTATATATAAATTCAAAAAAGATCTTATAAGAGCTATTAAAGACCATCAGGTAATAATTTTATTTGAATTAACACTTCATTTAATTAAACCTTAAAATATGAATTTTTTATTTTACTTAGATACTCATTATAGAAGGAGAAACTGGTTCTGGTAAAACCACACAAATTCCTCAATATTTACATGAAGCTGGTTTCACAGAAAACAATAAAATAATTGGATGTACGCAACCTAGAAGAGTTGCGGCTATGTCAGTTGCAGCTCGTGTAGCAGATGAGATGTCTGTTAAACTTGGAAATGAAGTAAACAATCTTAATTATTTTAAAAAGAAATACAAATTAATATATTGACTCTTGATACAATTTTAGGTTGGTTACAGTATACGTTTTGAAGATTGCACTTCAGAGCGTACTATAATCAAATACATGACTGATGGAACATTGCATAGAGAGTTTTTGTCTGAACCAGATTTACAGTCTTATAGTGTGATGATTGTAGATGAAGCTCATGAGCGTACCCTTCATACTGATATTTTATTTGGTTTGGTAAAAGATGTTATACGATTCAGAAAAGATTTAAAATTATTAATATCAAGCGCCACATTAGACGCACAGAAGTTTTCTGAATTTTTTGATGATGCACCTATCTTTAGAATACCTGGTAAACATTGTTTAAATTTTATAATTTCTTTGTGTAAATACTAAATCTATTTTTGTATGTTTGTTATAGGAAGACGTTTCCCTGTGGATATATACTACACAAAAGCGCCTGAGGCAGATTATATTGATGCCTGTGTTGTATCTATATTACAGATACATGTAACACAGCCCCTCGGAGATATATTAGTCTTTTTAACTGGCCAGGAAGAAATTGAAACTTGTAACGAACTACTACAGGAGCGTGTTCGTAGACTTGGTTCTCAAATCAAAGAACTGATTTTATTACCAGTTTATAGTAATTTACCTACTGAGATGCAAGCTAAAATTTTTGAGCCTACACCTCCCAACGCTAGAAAAGTAATTCTTAATTTTTTTTTTCTTAGAAATAAATTTAATCAAAAATAATTATACTATAAATTATACTTTAGGTTGTTTTAGCCACGAATATAGCAGAAACTTCTTTAACAATTGACAATATTATTTATGTTATTGACCCAGGTTTTTGTAAACAAAATAATTTCAATTCACGTACTGGTATGGAATCTTTAATAGTTGTACCAATATCAAAGGTAGATTATTTGTAAAGATGGATTTGCATTTATACTATATTTAATTAATGTTAATACTTTAGGCAAGTGCTAATCAAAGAGCTGGAAGAGCTGGCCGAGTAGCTGCTGGTAAATGTTTTCGCTTATATACATCATGGGCTTATAAAAGTGAACTTGAAGACAATACAGTTCCAGAAATTCAAAGAATTAATTTGGGCAATGCTGTGTTGATGTTGAAGGCTCTTGGTATTCACGACTTAATACATTTTGATTTTTTAGATCCTCCACCGCACGAAACCTTAGTAAGTTAATTTAATTTATAAAATCTAAATTTTTTTTTAAATCCCTATTTTTAAAGGTGCTTGCATTGGAACAACTTTATGCATTGGGAGCATTGAATCACAAGGGTGAATTAACCAAATTAGGACGTCGTATGGCTGAATTCCCATTAGACCCAATGATGGCAAAAATGCTCTTGGCTTCCGAGAAGTTAGTATCTTTAATTTGTACTAAACATATTTATAGGTAATATACCTATAGGATAATAAGAGTTATATATAATTATTACACTATTATAATTAATGCAACAAAATAAAAGTAAAACAGTGGCTTGGCGTGGCGCGGTGGCTGTAAATAGTATGTAAAGTGATTGAGAGTACGCACCGTCTGCTGCAACTAGTTCCCGGATGGGTGATCACCTGGGATTTAGTGGCAAAAACCTTGCCAACCATCCGTACTAATCAATCCAATCTTACCAACCGTAACTCCCTACAATAGCTAATGGCCAATGATCATAGTTGCTGGGCTCAAAACCAATAAAAGAAATAAAACTATTTTAATTTATAATTTTCAATTATTGTTTTTAATCATTCTAACAATGAAAAAATTAATGCTGATTTTTAAATTTAAATTTTTATTGTTTATACTCTTAAAAATTATCATCTAATTATTTTGTAATTTCAGGTATAAATGTTCAGAAGAAATTGCTACCATAGCAGCAATGTTAAATGTAAATAGCGCTATATTTTACAGACCCAAAGATAAATTAATTTTAGCTGATACAGCTCGTAAAAATTTTTTTTCACAAGGTGGTGATCATTTAGCTTTATTAAATATATATACTCAATGGGCCAATACAGATTTTAGTACAAATTGGTGCTATGAAAATTACATTCAACACAGATCTATGCGAAGAGCGCGGGATGTCAGAGATCAGTTAGTTAATTTAATGCAACGTGTTGAAATGGATATAGTATCAAATCCAGCCGAAACAATTAATATTAGAAAAGTATGACATTTAACACATTTCAATTACATGAGAAATTTGAATTTTTTATATGAATATATTTTATTTGTTTAAGGCCATAACTGCTGGTTATTTTTATCACATTGCAAGATTGTCAAAAGGTCATTATCGCACTGTTAAACATAATCAAACCGTTATTATTCATCCAAATAGCAGTTTATTTGAAGAACTTCCAAGATGGGTTTTATACCATGAGTTGGTATTAACAACTAAAGAATATATGAGACAAGTCACGGAGATTGAAAGTAAATGGCTACGTGAAGTAGCTCCTCATTACTATCAAGACAGAGAACTTGAAGACTCTACTAATAAAAAATTACCTAAGACATTAGGAAAAACAAGTTCTGAACTAAAAACGAATAATTAAAGTATAAATTAATTAAATATTTAAGTATGTGATTTGTTAAATTTTGTTAAAAAAAAAAAAAATAATAAAAACTAGCTTTAAACTTAAAAATGTGTTGTATGTATTTAAATTGTATTCAGTCTGTACTATCCATAACAACTCCAACACATCGGTCGTAATTCCGCAAAATATATTCTTATATCTGTATGTATAAAATTACAGTATCACCATCTTAGCACATATAAACAATTTTCTGTGTCCAAAATAACCTCCCCATTTATTAGTTATTTTATAATGTTTGCTACTATTTAAGATATATATAATATAATATCATAAATGTATCGAAATAAAAATAATATAATTATTATCTGAGAAATTAAGTTACTGCTTTATTTGTTAAGCATTGCGAAATATTTGGTAGGGTATTTTAGTATTTACGGTGCCATGTTAATGGTATATACTATTTAGTATGGTTCAAGTGCAATTGTGGAAAATGTATGTTATTAATTGATACATTTAAACGATAAAGAATTGTTGCATTTTAAAATAATTCTTTAGTTTGTATGTGATTTTTCAGTTTTTGGAAGGTATACAAATTGTAAATTTACAAAATATAAATAAAATAATAATAATATTAAAACAATAAACATTTTTGGGTAAAAAATTATTAAAATTAACAAATCAATTGTATATACATATAAAAGAAAGCTGCTCTGCTGTACAGTAGGTTACAAGTGGGTCACTGTATAATGGATAGTATTAAATTTGAATTCAATGATAATATAATATCATTGTATAAGAAAAACGATTTTGAGCGGAAACGGTATGTCAGTCTAGGTATAAGACCATATTATTACTATACTTATCTATTGTATTAAAAAAAAATTACCTATTATAGGTACCTATAATAAATTCTAAATTAATCATATCACAATATCCATTAGGTACTTATAATGTGTTATACATCAGCAACAAACCCTGATACTATCATAGTCCATACTCCATAGATATATAATAGTGTACTTTAGAAATTTCAAGTACCCACGAATAATATTACACAATAAAATTTTCAAAATGTTTTGATTTATTTTGAACTGTTTAGGTTTTAACAGTTTTTTTTAGTTTTTTTTCTAAAAATATCAATAAAATTTTATTTGTTGGTTAAAAAAGCTTCAAAATTTAATACAAGGATCCTACTATATTGTTACAATGGCATTTGAAAAATATTAAAAATCCTCAGTCACAGTTATTTTTTATAAGCATTTAAAGTTCAAAAATTGACAAAATATGGAAAAATCACGAAAATTAGCAAATTATTTTGAGTTAGGAATTCGTAAAAATTTTTCTTTTTAAATCTAAGGTTTTAAAATGTAATACAAGATTCCTTATAAGATAATCTACCTTTATCAAAAAAAAAAATGTCTAAGAAAGTCAAATTAAATTTTTATGACCGTTTGAAATTCAAATTTTTACAACATTGGATATTCACTCGATTTCTCTTATTGTGTTGTAATTCAAAAACGGATAACTGTAGATACATAAAAATTTCACTGAATATTTATAATAGCATTTCCTATACACCCTACAATTTTAAAAATATTTTGACTCTTTTTGAGCTGTTTACGGACAATTACAGTTTTAAATTTTTTTAGTTTTTTTTTTTTAAATATCAATAAAGTTTTATCTATTGGGCCAAAAAGTGTAAAAATTTAATACAAGGCTCCTGATACCTATATTGTTACAATATCAGTTGAAAAATATTAAAAATACATAGGCACAATTTTTTTTTATAAGCATTTAAAGATCAAATTTTGACAAAATTTATCAAATTTAAAATTAAATAATTATTTTGTAGTTAAAAATGTATAAAATGTTCAACTTTTATATCTAAGGATTGAAAATTTAAAACAAGATTCCACGGAAGTAGATAATTCTCTTTGTAATTCAGGTTTACTGCTAAGCACCACGCCTTTAAACGAATTTAACAATATTATTAATATTCATTTTTAATAACAATTAAACATACTACACATTTATTATTAATAGTTTTTATATTATAACGAAAGTACCTATACTAGTAGGTTTAATATATAATCATAATATATGCATAATATTATTTGTTTAAAACTGCAAAAAAAACTTCAATAGGCACAAAGTTAAACATTTTTCCCGCAAGATGATAATAAGGATAATAACGACATCACATCGCTAAACGTCTAAGCCTAGAGTAAATTTTAATTGAGAAACCACATAAAAACATTCGTAGCCCATCACAGTGTCATAATTGCCAATCACACGTACAACTATTTCCATTATATGAGTCTATGCGTCAAAATTTGCAGTGACAATCACCATACGGATATGTATAGATACAGCAAAGACCGCAACAGTCTCGCCAAATGTGCCCTATGTATCAAGGATTACACTGCCAACTTCAATGGATGCCAAGTCAGCTCTCAAGAAAACTACTCCAAAAGGTCCCTGATTGACCATTGTCTCGTTATGAATAGTGATCGGGCCCCCGGCACAATACATTTTAATGGGCCCCTTTACAAATAAAAAAGTTTTTTAAATTGATAATTTTATTTTCTGTGTTCAATTAATATCATGACTCCAATCTCATAAATATATTACCTATGTTATTAATTATTAGATAGAATTATTTTGTGTTCAATTTATTTAAGTTAATATAAATTAAATAATGTATATGTACAGCCTTTATAAAATATAATTTCATAATTTGTTTTAGTAAAAAATATATTATACTTTTTGATGATTGAATACATACAAAATTAAAATAAATATAATACCCACTATAGGTTATTGTACCTCTATAATTTCGTTACAAAGATCATGTCACCATGTGGTTACCGGTTTAAGGGGTTTTTAGAATTAGTGATAATTGATTACCGGTTACCAAAATGATCCCTAAAAATGTGATTACCGGTTATCGGTTTGGAAGCGGTTTTAATTCTTCCAGATTACCAATAACCAATTCGGAAACGGATTTTGCATTAAGGTTTTTTTCGGAAAATTTTAGTTTCACTTTAATTTACACAACAGTACAACACAAATATCCACTTTATTAAACGATTCACTATTCAGGGACAAGCTAAATTAAAAAATAAATACCCATATCTATGGCTATATTTTATCATTTGAAGCTATGGATAAATATAAATTTAAATTAAATTAGTAAATTATCCATAACCATTGATTGAAAAATAGTTCATGAAAAGTGTTAATCAACGGCGTCAATAACAATAAAATAAAATAAATAATTATCATCTAGTATGTTCCACAGTATGTCTATGCATTATGAACCAATGAATCGTACTTAGTATCTACGATTGGTGCTTATTACTTATTATTACAGTATACCATCTTTAATCGTACTTATTGTTACCTATTATTATCTTGTAAATAAAATTATTAATCAAAAAAATAGAATACAATTTCCAAAAAATATAAAAATCAAATATAACGTTATTTTTTTTTTGATATTTCCGGTTTTGTTGAATTGATCTGTTTTTTAAAAAAAAAGGTTACCGCTTCACGTTACACCTTAATTGAACTTGGTTAAAAATTTAAACTTACAAACCGGGAAGCGGTTACCAGACCCAAAATGGGTTATGGTAACCGGTTTCAAGCCGTGGTTTAAGGGGATTGGAAGCGACGATTTTCTGTCTTTATCTAACACACGTGCAACATAGGATTATAGACGTGTTCTATGTCCAACGTACCGATTAATCTAATGAAGCGATAAGAATTCTGAAAACAGATTTGAATTTGTCGTCAAGTCTACTTGAGATCGACTTTCCCATATTTTTGATTTTTTGATTTAAACTTCTCCAAAAGTTGAAATTTGTAAATTTTTTAAGTACTTTTTATAATATATCATTTTTATGATTTTGGTGGGACAATATCAAAAATGTGGGAAAGTCGATCTCAAGTAGACTTGACGACAAATTCAAATCTGTTTTCAGAATTCTTATCGCTTCATTAGATTAATCGGTACGTTGGACATAGAACACGTCTATAATCCTATGTTCCACGTGTGTTAGATAAAGACAGAAAATCGCCGCTTCCAATCCCCTCAGTGGCGCCGAAGTCCATGCTGACGTCGGGCCGTGGCCCGACCTCTTTTTTGAAAAATGTGGCCGGCCGGGCCATATTTAATTTACATCATAACTTTATTATAAGCATGAGTAAATTTAAACCGTGATTATGAATAAATTTATATTAGGGTACCTCTATATTAAATAATTGAGATATTGAGGCCGGGAAGTTTTAAAATTGCCCGACCACATTTTAAAAACTTCGGCGCCACTGCCCTTAACCTGTGTTGTTTAATTAGGTAGGTATACTAAGATTGTTGAGCTACGTGTAATGAATTATTCTAAGAGCTAAAAAAAAAGTAAATTTGCAGTAATTTTTTATTAGATTTGAAAGATTTAATGAAAAATGTATTGGCATTCTGTTTAATCACTGCTAAAGGTTTTATAGAAGAGCTTTTAAATTCTGAACTATGTGCACTGCAGCTACGATTTAGAATTTAATTTCGAAAAAAAATTACCAATAAACAAATAAAATTTAAAATACCCTTAATACAACTGGGTTCTTTGATATTGATGTGATCAGTAAATACTTTAATATATATACCTACTAGTTAAACTAAACTGCAAACTACCTATTAAAATAAATTACTATGATAATTAATAGCAATATAAATGTATTACAAAAATATATACTTTGTGATGTATAGGCTGACACGTAATTTCTAATCAGATAATAATTTTAAATAAAAATAAACGTAACAACACATCCTTGCAGTGGTTAGTGAATATTGATGACTATAGGTCGTAAGCACACTCAAAACTCAAAAGTCAACACCTTTAATGCAGAAAAATGATTTCTCCGGTTTTTTCATTTAGCTCTAAATGTTAGGTATAGGTTTCAAATATTGTGTTTTATTAGTAAGACAACAATAATATTGGACTACAGTTGGCCACAGCATAGGT